TGAATAAATAAACTATTTGCATGTTAAGAAAATTTTTCAAAGTCAAACTTTACTGAGTTGTGTACCTTACATTAAATGCCCTTTTCAAGTACTTACATATGTCTACAGCCAGTTTTAAGATCACAAATTAGCCTGGTTGGCTGAGGAGTTATTGATATTTTTCTATGTTTGAGGACTTGTCATTTTAAAAATTTTTAAAAAATCCTTTATTTATTTATTTGGTACAGGGTCTCACGATGCAGTTCAGACTCATACTGATCCTCCTGTCTCAGCCTCCCAGCACTGGAATTGCAGGGTGTGCCACAACGCCCAGGGTTCCAAGCCCTGCACAGCAGGCAGTACTAGGGATCAAACCTGGTACCCTGTGCTTGCCAGGCAGGTGCTTAGACTGCCAAGCTATCTCTCCAGTTCTGAGGGCTTGTCATTGATGTTACAGTTGCCCTGATTTTCCTGAAGCTACATATCTGTTCAAATGTTTAATGAGTCAAGGTGTGCCCACATGATTCTTGGACCAGATTTCATAATTCTCAACTCTTGTCTGAAAAGTCTGGTGCTTCATGAAGTCATATCTTCCCTTTGATGACATTGTGCCTCAGTGATTTCCTAAGAGAAACATTTGCACGAATGTATTGGGGCCAATCTGTCTAGTCCCTTAGTTACCTAAGTGGTAAAGGCAAACACTGTATTAACAAAAAAACACAACAAAAATACTTAATTTAGTGAAAATTAGCCTCATGTTAATACTGCAAGATTATCGTTAAAATGATACACAAAAACAGAACCTTGAGTTGATATATTTTATCATTTATTAAAATTCAATTATATTTTAGGTCATTTAAATTTTAGAAAGATACTATATTTCAGTCATATCTGAGTCTCTCTCAGTGAAGGCTATATAACTGTTGGTATGCATATATATACACACTTAAGATTTATAATTTTAATCTAGTAATATTTTAGGGGAGCAGATTATTATCTTTCCTTAATGTTTTAATTAGACTTAATTATCCTTTATATGACAAGAGTGTTGGTGTTGTGGAAGATACATTTTTTAGAAATATGTTACTAAAGAAACGTCATAGTGAAATGTATTACAAGTATTTTAACCCCATGGAATTAAAATGATTTGTCATGTTATGATGATGCACACACTGCAGATTTCTAAAAATAATGGTAAAAATTTGCTTACAACTTAACCACATGTGCTTGTTTTCAGTAATTCCTTTGGGAATGCTGACATATCACATATGAATAGATGTGAGAAGATAGTGCCGAAGGACGTTGCCACACAACTGACAGCCACAAAGTCACAGCCTAAGGAGGTATGACAGAACTTACCTTCTCTTCTTTGAATTGTAGAGGAGCAATGACAAAGTGTGTGGAGGGACAAAATGCAGCCACACAGGGAAACAGCCCCACATGAAGTCACCGTGGCTGTGTATGTATGGGAATAGTGCTGCTTTGTAGGTAGTGTGCCACTTGAAATCTTAATATATTTAGATGATAATGTGGATCCAGGCCAGATGAAGATAATAGGACTTA